GGGGGGCACTGGGGGGCACTGGGGGGCTCTGATGGGCACTGGGGGCACTGGGGGGTTCTGAGGAGCACTGGGGGGCACTGGGGGGACACTGCGGGGCACTGGGGTAACTGGGGGGCACTGGGGGGGCACAGGAGGGCACATGACGTTACCTACCCCAAAAAACCCAATTCTTTTTTCCTCCAAAATATGAAAGTTTCTCCAAAAAATAACAAATTTTCTCCCCCAAACATGAAGATTTCAACCCCAAAATGAGACGTTTTCTCCCTGAAATTCCACTTTTCTCCCAAATATATGAGAAAAAAATGGTATTTGTGGGATAAACGTCGTATATTTGGGGGAAAAGGGGTATTTCTGAGAGAAAAATGACATTTTTGTGGGGAGAAAATGTCGTATTTTGGGGAGAAAATGATGTATTTTGGGGACAAAAGTGGTGTTTCTGGGAGAAAATGTCGTATTTTGGGGCGATTTGGGGCCAGGCTGAGTTTGGGGTCAGAATGGATTTGGGGCAGTTTGAGGTCAGGTTGCATTTGGGGTTTGGCTGAGTTTGGGGTCAGACTGTATTTGGGGCAATTTGGGGTCGTGCTGAATTTAGGGTTTGGGTGAGTTTGGGATCAATCTGAGCTTGGGGTCAGGCTGAGTTTGGAGCAGTTTGGGGCCAGGCTGAGTTTGGGGTCAGACTGGATTTGGGGCAGTTTGGGGCCAGGCTGCATTTGGGGTTTGGGTGAGTTTGGGATCAGAGTTTGGGGTTGGGCTGAGCTTGGGGCAGTTTGGGGTCAGGTTATGTTTGGGTCCAGGCTGAGTTTGGGGTCGGACTGATTTTGGGGCAGACCAGGATTAGGCTGAGGGGCTGAGTATGGGATCAGGCTGAGTTTGGGGCAGTTTGGGGCCAGGCTGAGTTTGGGGTCAGCTTGGGGTGTGGGTGAGTTTGGGGTCACGCTGAGATTGGGGCAGTTTGGGGCCAGGCTGAATTTGGGGCAGGTTGGGGTCAGGCTGCATTTGGGGTTTGGCTGAGTTTGGGGTCAGACTGGATTTGGGGCAGTTTGGGGTTTGGGTGAGTTTGGGATCAATCTGAGCTTGGGGCCAGGCTGAATTTGGGGTCAAACTGGATTTGGGGCAGTTTGGGGTCAGGCTGCATTTAGGGTTGGGCAGAGTTTGGGGCAGTTTGGGGTCAGACTGGATTTGGAGCAGTTTGGGGCAAGGCTGAATTTGGGGCAGATTGGATTTGGGGCAGGTTGGGGTCAGGCTGCATTTGGGGTTTGGCT